CAAACTCCCCCTTTGGGCCAAGGGCAGGAATGAAAAGGTGAAATACGGTCGGTCCCAAGAGGGATCCGTGATGGGCTCCGCTAGTGACTCCCCGCCTGGCAGTTCCCCGTTCGGGGTGACCCGACGTCGTCTCCCCTTCACCACTTCCCAGTCTCACATCGACCCCCATCATCTCTCCCCCGGAACGGTGTCAAACGCCCTCCTGGCCCCAGGGAGATCCGACCCACCGCGTTTCCCGTGGCTGACACCAGCGCTCGTCAGCGAGACGCCAGCGACTGTCACACCCCGAATCCAGCCAGCGACACAATCGGACAAACACCAACAATCACTTTCAGCCATTTCCGCGACTCGCTTTCCACAGCTCGCCGAGCTCGGAACAGATCCTGTCACGTCAGGAACCCCCCTAAGGGCCCTTCCTCATCTGAGTCCCCTGGGAACCCCCTGTTCACCCCCAATTCTGATCCCTGCCTCGGGGGCTCACGCTGGGAGCAGCCTCCTGGCTCCTCCCCAGACCTCGCTGCTTTGCACACTCAGGCAGTTTGGGGGCCAACCCCCCATGAGCACACGCCGCCGGCTCCTGGGGACAAGGCGGGGGCTGGGAATTTGCGGGTGTCCCACTGGCTGCAATGCAGGCATGGTGGTCGGGGACCCACGTGTGTAGTGGGGGGGCGTTGCGGGCCGTGCGGCCGGCCGAGCAGGGTAACAGACACCCCACGCAGAGAACCTGTCGTGCCCCCCGGCTGCCCCCAGCCCCTCTCTCCCGCCCAGCCCCACGGCCCCCACCGGGGTTTGCACACGGCTCTGAAAACGATTCAGGGGAGTTCCACAGGGGCCAGGGCCCCCATGCCAAGGGAGGGACAAGTCTCTTGGGGGCACTGGAGGGGGGTGCAGGGGGACCCCTTTATCCCCCCCAGCGCGCTCCCAGCCCCACACGGCAGCCAGCTCCACTCCTCCACATGTCCTTTAATGGGGAAAGACACAGATATGGGGGGGGGGACATGGGGGGCAGGAGCGACCCCAGCCCAACCAGCAGCGTGGGAAGCCCAGGGTCAAATTGACAGTGGGAGGAAACAGGGAACCCTGGTCCGGAGCAGGACCCCTACAATGGGGACATGGGGGGTGATTGGGGGGGCTGGGGGCATAAGGTGGGAAGTCGACAAGGGGGGGGGAGCCCAGAAAGGGGGAGGTGGAGGGAGCTGGGGGGCGGTGAGGCTGGGTAGAAATGGCAGGAAAGAGTAACCATGATCTGGGGGGGGTCCCGCCCCCCAGGGGGTCCTGCCAGAAGGGGGGCTGGTGGGGGGGTCCCTGCCCCCTGGGGGTGCTGCTAGGGGAGTCCCTGTACCCCCATCACACGGGCTCCATCTGCAGCTCATCAGCCTCCCCCGACTCCAGCTCATGGAAGGCAGCGTGGGAGCCAATCACCACCAGGGTGGCACCTGCGGGGGGCGACAGAGAGGTGGGGGGTATCAGAGAGACAGCGACACTGCCGCCCCTTCCCCCGCTGCCCCCAGCTCCGCCTCCCCTCCCCGCTGCACCCCATTGACCCCCCTGCCCCCAGCTCTGCCTCCCCTCCCCGCTGCATCCCATTGACCCCCCTGCTCCCAGCTCCCCTCCCCCGCTGCACCCCATAGACCCCCGCTGCCCCCAGCTCCGCCTCCCCTCCCCCACTGACCCCCCGAGTGCCTGGAGAGGAACAGCCCATGGGGGGTGGGGCAGGCACAGATTGGGGGGGGAGTGTCTCCCCTCCCCCACACTCAGCTCCTCGGCAGGGTTTGCGCCCCAAACAGCCCCCCCGGACAAGCCTCCACAGGTAGCAACTGATGGGGGCTGGGGGGAGGCGGGGCTGGGGTTACACCCCGGGTCGGGGGAGGGGGCTACTCACCCAGCACCCAGAAGACGGCGGATCCGGCCCCTGCCAGCCAGAAGAAGGGGAAGGAGACACCCCCGGCCAGGCCGTACTGGTGAGCCGTGCCGAGCTCCCGGCCTGGGGGGGAGAGAGAGAGAACGGGGGGCTGAGGGGAG